TCCATTTCTTCTTCTTTGGCACTAGACGTAGGAGCAAATACTTGAATAACAGTGTTAACAGGTCTTCTTTGTATGCATATGGATATTATCCTATCACTCACAATACTGTATTTTAGAATAAAACTTGAAATTGACTTTTTGACTATGAATGCAACACCTCAGTCTATCTTATGATTTCTGATTTAAAGTGGCCACAGCTTGTCCATCTCACTAATGTCTCATATGTCGATGTGTCCCATTTCATTTTTAAACAATATCCAGTTTTCCAACATTCAAGCTATGAACATTCCATGTACCAACTGTTAAACGATATTTGTTACCGATTTTCCTCATTTCAACTGACTTCCAATCTGGGCTCTACCACCACACTAGTATAACTATCCTCTTTGCTAGGTGTTCATAGGGTTTTCAAAAGCCTTTTATTTAGAAAGTAGATGGCCTATCCTGCTTCCTAGTATGTCTCAATCAGGGAGCGCCACCAAAACCCATCCATGATGGGAAACCTTTTTGGAATTTGACACACCAGTTGCAAAGATTTCAGTATCACAGCAACCCCAAGTAATCCCTCATGTTTCTAGAACATTGAGCCACTGTTATCATGGAACAAACTGGTTTTGCATTAAACAATTCACATTTCATGACACTGATTGCAATCTCCACTAATGTAACAGCACTCTAATGTAAGTTCATCTCTAGTTTCTCCCACTTAGCCTTCTTTGCTAATTTTTAAGCTTTATCCATGGATAAATGCCACCCTTTTGGCTTTGTATGGTTTGACTGATTTAAGTAGTACATTCCTGGGTCCTAACCACCTTAAAGGTTTTTCTATTATCTGGGTGAATGCTGGATCACAAGAGTGTTTTCAGATACAGGTTTAAAAAAATGGACAAAGCGCATGCAGGATGCTCCTTGGAGAAAAGGTGCATCTCACATATTTGGGACATACTGTTTGGAAAGGCTATTCCTTGGAGAGGGACATTGTGCTTGGAAAGGTGGAGGGTTGGTGAAAGGAAGATCCTCAACCAGATGGACTGACACAGTGCTTGCAGCAATGGACTTCAGTATGTCAGAAATGAGTAGACTGCCAATCACTGTGATGGAATAGAAAACATGTCTAGATCCTACCCTCAAGCAACCTAAAGCTACAAGGTGGTATCACAGAAGACATATGTAACACAAACTATTAAATCATTTGTTTATAGCAGGGTCATCTTCAACCTCGTCTAAACCTCAGAGAAATAATGCTAAGTGTAGATCCCAGGAATGACCAACGTTAACAGACAGCAGAAAGGGTAGGTGGTGGTGAATTAAGATCAGGGGTCAAAAATTCATGCAGACTGTGAGTATGGATAGAACTTTGAAGAATCAAGATATTATGTGTATGTTATTGATGGACAGGAAAATGGGATGAGAAGAAAGGAATAGCAAGAATTAAGACTTAAGAGGTGGGCTAAGTTCAGATAATCGGTCTGTGGAGGTAAGCATTAAACAAACAAGACTTAAACTGGTTTAATTGCTATCAAAGGGACTCTAACTTTGAGCCCCTCAATGAATCTCCTCCACCCTCTTTTGAAAATCTCTCAAGAATATGCTTCAATTTAGTACTCCAAGCTCGTATTCCTCTATTCCCTCCCTAGAGCTCCGTTTTCCTTAGAAAATTTTTCTACTCCCTTTCTAATCTTGCGATATACTCTTCCCCATATCTCACACTGTCTCTTTCCTTTACATGTCTCTCCTCATCCTTTGGTGGTTGTAAGAAGTTGTGCTAAAAGCTCAAAGGCAGACAGTTCCAATCCACCACCTACTCCAAGGGAGGAAGACAGGAAATCTCCTGCATGACCTACACCTTCTAAAAACCTGCAGGAGGGTTAGCTTACAATCCACTTCTGACTGGATGGCGAAAGAATTTCCAACTGGCTAGCAAAAGGAATTCTGAGTGACTAATCCCTTCGGGTTTCAATGAGTCAGGAGTGAGCTTAGATTCAGTCCTAAACATGGGGCTTTAAGAACTGAAATAAAATGACAGAATTGTATTTTAGAAAGATCACCATGGTAACTCAGGGAGGAACATGAAGGGAGAAAGGGAGGGAACAAAATCAGTAATTAGAGAACAAGTCAGGGTGCTGTTGCAGCAACTAGGGCAAGAAACGCCCCAGCCTAAGGAAAAAGCTTGGAGTCCTGGATGCATGATGGTTAAGTGGCTGCCTGCTAACCAAATGGTTATGTAGGGTTGCTATGAGTCAGGACTGACTGGAAGGGTGACAAGGAAAACAGCAAAAAGTAGAGTAAGGTATTAGAATAAAGGCATTTGTTAACTATGTCAAGGTGAAGTAAAGCACAGGTAAAAGACATTAAGTACCTATTCCTCCCTCCCACCAAGTTTAGTTAAACTAGTAATTTACTATGCAGTTGAAACTGGGTAGGAATTTCAATTAAAGGATAGAAATTACATTAGAAGTCACAGTAAACATAAAATCCTGATAATATTTCACAGATGAACTGGAAAAAAGACTGATGAAGGCTGGAAACGGTCCACTGTGTTCAAATGTGAAGGGTTTTGGAAAATACAGAACTTTAAAAAGAAAACAAAAAGAGCATTCTAGGTCTCCAAACACATGAAACACTTTGTGTATCTATGATTACATAAAAACCAGTAATTAAAAATAAAATCAGGGGAGCTCTGGTGGCCTAGTGGCAAGAAGCTGCAACTACAATCCCAGAGGTGCACGGTTCGAATCCACCAGATGCTCTGCCGGGGAAGGAGGGGCAATCTCCTCCTGTACCAGTCAGATCTGATTTGATAGTACATGCACACAAAAATAATAAAATAAAATAAAAATTTAAAAAAAAATAAAATCAAAACACATTCTATGTCTGTGTGGTCTAACAGGCACATGCACGGACTATGAAACACCCAAGTAGTAGCTACCAGAGCTCCCCTTTTATGCTATAGACACATGATGTTTCTTTGTGAAAGAACATAAATTGAGAGGACTCAATATTAGTGAGTTAATCTGAATGGAAATTAGGCTTAAGAGGCACAAATAAGAGAAAAATGAAAAGTGTTCAACAGTGTGCACATTTTGTTTTTTTTGGTTTTTTTTTTTTCCTTGTTGTGTAACATCAAGTCTGATATGACTGGCAGAGGAAACTGCTTCCTTCTCCGGCAGAGCATCTGGTGGATTCAAATCACGTGCCTTCAGGATTGCAGCTCAGCGTCTTGCCACTAGGCTACCAGAGATCCCTCCAGCCTAGCTTTTAATGCCTCTTTGGCATGTCAATGAACATTTCTGAGCAAGGAAGTACCTGTTCCTTGTTGGTAGGTGCCAACTGGTTAGTTCTGACTTATAGCAAGTCTCTAGTTTAACAGGTCTTAAATTCATAAAAGGTGTGTCAGGTTTGTTATCCTTTCACCTTTATTATTTAATCTGTATGCTGAACAAACAAACCTAGAAACTCCGTGAAGAAAAACAGGGGATTAAGATTGCTGGAAGACTCATTAACCACTCGTGATACGCAGATGGCACAATCTTGTTTGCTGCAAGCAAAACAGACTTGAAGCAAAGAGCACTATTACACCTTAGCATAAAACAAAAATCTTCACGAATGGATCCAAAGGTAAAATCAGAATAAATGGAGAAACGACTGGCTGTCAAGGCATCATTTTATTTGGATCCACAATCAAAGCTCATGAAAACCTGTTAGGCGCTGAGCATACATATTTTTTCTTTTGGTAGTCTAAAGTATGGTCAATAAGGCAGCAATTCTTCTGTCTTCTTTATTCAGTGTTCTACTTTCAGATGTACAGGAAGGAAATAAAAAGATCATGGCTTGAATCAGGCATACCTTAGTCTTTTAACTGATATCCTTTCTCTTTAGTGGTTTGGAATGATTCTTGACAGATTTTTTTCAATGCAACACATTTTCCCATTTCTTGTCTGCTGTACTACAAGTGCTAATTGTGGATCCAAGTAAAACAAAATCTTTGACAACGTCCATCTTTTCTCCTTCTACTGTAATGACATCTTTTGGTCCAATTGTGAGGATTTTTCTTGACGTGAAGATGTAACCCATATTCAAGGTTGTAGTCTGATTTTCTTCGGTAATTGGTTTAAATTCTTCTTCCTGGAAACAGCAGTTAAGAAACTAAATGACATAATGCAAATCTACCGCACAAGACCTCTTGAAAAGACATCAACTCTTAGGACAAAGGTGCATTTCACTCAGGCCATGGTCTTTTCAACAGTCTCACGCAAATGAAAGCTGGACAGTAAGTAAGGAGGAATTAGTGCTTCTGAATTATGGTGTTGAAGAGTGCTGAGTATGCTAGAGGCTGCCAGAAAGATGAACAAATCAGTCTTGGAAGAAATGCTCTTCATAAGAATAGTTGGGCTGGCAGATAATGTTATCAGAAGGAACTAGTTCCTGGAGAAGGACTTAACTGCTAAATTAACTTTTGTTCTTAGGTGTCTCAGAGTTGACTGGAGCTCACAGTGACCTTATAAGTTATAGATCTAAAAATTGATCTATACTGTAACAGTGAAATAGCGGGTTTGAACAAAGCAATGACTGTGAAGATGATGCAGGATGTGCCAACTTGGAGTTGCAAGGATTTGGAAATGATTCCACTACAATAAATTTTTCAGGTATCCTGCTAAAAGGAAAAAAATTCTGGTCCAATGCCCTGAATTTCCCACACTCTCCATCCCCCTTCAATCCCCAATGCCTTGGTTTTATGGAGTCTTTATTCGGTATGATTGGCATCTTTGTTTAATCTAAGCATGCAGTTTGGTTTGCCATGAATTTAGAAATAGGGTATGTGGAAGGAACCCATTATTTTTATCAGCATAAAAGTCACCAAGTCTTCCACAAGGATCTAGCTATGCTAATTAAGGACAAAATGATTACAGGCAGCTAATTCTTATAAGATGAAATCCTAGTGGCGCAGTAGTTAGATGCTCAGCTGCAAACGAAAATGTCTATAATTTAACCCACTAGAGTGCTCTTCAGGGATGAGGTTGCCAAGGGGCAGCTTCCCTGAAGAGTTACAGCCATGATTGGTTAAGCGTAATACACGTAACGTGAGAGGCAAGTTAACTTTTTTCTAGGAGTCTGAGGAATGCCAAAGCCACTGTGGTCTCAGAGATCACTTAAAGAAGTTCTTCACAATTTTCAGAAAGTTCAGGAATAGCGAAACTAGGTCTGCAGAGTCAATGCCCAGTTTTCACGTGATTCTCTCCCCTATCCCAATACCTATTAATTTAAAAAATGTGCAATCCCCTCTTTAATTCCTTGGGGGTCACTTCTAGTTTTAATTTTCCTCCGCTTTGCTTCTTTTCCTGCACTTCAAGGGCAGTCCTGGGTTTCAGACAATCCGGAGAGAACCACAACTCTGGGCTCACGTGGCCAGGTAAGAGCTTGCGCCACGTTTTCGCGAACTTAAGGGGCCCAAGCGAGGGTGGGCCGCACGTGTCCAGGCCAAGCCTGCAAGATCAAGTAAGCAGGGGTGGCCAGGAAAGGAAATGGGGGATAGGAAAGTGGACCCGCAGGATCCTCGGTGAACCACGTCCTCTATTACTCACCCATACAGGTCGCCATTACCCCGAGTAGACTGGAGGCAGTGGCCGTACAAGGAACCTGGAAAAAAAAGATCGGGGTCGCACAAAAGAGAGGCTCTGCGCAAACACGCCCCCTGCATGAGTTGGCGAATCACAGCGCGTCTTTTAGAGAGTTCTAGGCGACCGACGCAGCAGAAGCTATACCCCCAGTGCCACCCTTCGGAGCGAGGGGAGGGGCGGGCGTGCCAAGTTCCCGCCGCGCAGGCGCAGGGACGCTCCTTTTCCTAAAAATGGCGCGCTAACGGACCCTGTTCACAACTGAAGCTCGTGGGCGGGGACTCCTCAGTAGCTAGAAAGACAGGTTGGAGCGTGCCTAGCATTGAGAGGATCTACTTAAAGGACTTTAGTATCATTCTTTGCCTTTGCATGATCAAAAATAACATCTCTCCACATCCTCGTTATTTTTAGTTTGGGCACACTCGATATTGTGATTGGAAGGTACTCATTCAACCACGCCCCGCTTGGCCCGAGTCTCCGCTGATTGGTGGGTCTGGTGAGACAGGCGGGGGGGGGGGGGGTCGTACAGGGTAGTGGGTGCTGGTCTATTGGGACGCACGCGCCGCCGCAGTAGCGAAAGCCGAGCCGCGGGGCAGGAAGCGTCTTGTCTGGAAGGCGTCAGGGCCGTAGTGGCTGCTGGTTGGCGCGTGGATCGTGGCCGCGGCGGGAGGTCCCACCACGTGTTTTTGGCGGCGACATGGAGCTGGAAGAGTTGGGGATCCGAGAGGAATGTGGCGTGTTCGGATGCATCGCCTCCGGAGAGTGGCCCACGCAGCTGGATGTACCGCATGTGATTACCCTCGGACTGGTGGGGCTGCAGCACCGGTGAGCAGTAAGAGCGGGAGCTGGGGGCCGTGCAGATAAGAAAATTCCTGTTGGCCTCTTCTGACGACCTTGCGTGCACCTCTGGCCCTCTACTTACCTGGACCAGACCTTCCTGTATTATCCATCAGGTTGCCAGGCATGCACGAGGGACTCTGCCTCTCTGGAGTTTAACATTGTAAGCCCTGATGATGTTTAGGACCGAGTTACCCTGTCTGTACCACTCCTGAGCCTGGGCAGTTTGTAAAACTCGAGTTTACTTGAGTGTGCCTATTCGACTATTCTCCGGAGCCTGGAGCTGCTCTCTGCAGAAGCTTGTAGGCTGGCAGTTTGCTCTAGGGTATACAAAGTGTGCGCAAGGGGCTTGCAGCCACTACAGGCTTTTGTTTGCTGGGGCAGGTTGTGGATTTGAAGGAAGTTATTGCTATGGGAATTTAGGGAATCGTTGTATGTAAAGCATGCGCTACCGCAGCGATGAGCGTAACACCTAATCAAAGAGACAAGACTAATTGTTCATAACGGGAAAGTCTGTCGTCCAGTCGAGTCTGCTGTATAGTGACCGACAATCGGGTTTCCCATGCTGTAATTTATCGCAGGAGACTCATCTTTCTACCTCGGAGCCACCCGTAGATGGAACCGCTAACCTTTGTAATTAGCAGCCCAGCACAACGTACTATACCCGAGGGGCTCCTTACAAATCGGGTTTCTGAGGCTGTAAAATTTAACGGGAGAAAAATACCCATCTTTTCGGTGCATTCTGGTTAGCATCCATCATGTTAAGCACTGCGGCCCCAGAGCGCAGTATTGCCTTTGGGTCTGAGCTCTAGGCTGTAAATTGCCCAAGAGCAGAGATGGCCTGCCTGTCTCTCCTCTCCCTCTCTCTCTCCCCCTGTCTCTCTGTCTCTCTCGGAGCTGTTGTGGATTCAGACTGGCAACCTTTACATGAGCAGCTCAGCTTCTTACAGACTGCCCACCAGAACTCCCAGGGAACAGTGACAGTGTAAATTTAACGGAAAATAGACCGATGACAGGGCGTTAAGAGCATTTAGTTGATTTGAGGGTAAACGTATTGGATAATGAAAACACTAGTAAGAGGAAGATGGTAAAAATGTACTTTTTTAAAGAAAGGGGGCAAAGAATATTTTTGTATTGAGATACATACACAATGACTTTAAAAATTTGAGTAGAAGGACTTAATGTTAAATAACATTGCATCTAGGGTCTTTCCTTTTACAACTACTTGGCCTAACAAAAGTTGATATGTACAATTGTGTTGTCTTCTAAAAATATAAAGCTAGGATTAACATGGCCTCTGAAAGAATTCCAGAGTTTCGTAAAGCAATAAATACAGTAATATCACCTTCAAAACAGGTTAAAGAATGTGCATTTGAGGTGCATTTGTTAGTGGTAAGTTACAAATGCTTTTCAGCTTTCCTTCACAAGACTTAAACTAGAAGCAGTCTTTCTGCTGCTTTCAAAATATCGAGTACTTGAATATGATTTTCATATTTTATATATTTGTTTCTAAAGAGCTGAGAGTATCATAGGATCATAAAAAGCTTAGAGAATTTGATGGCTCCCATCCACCACAAAATGCATTGTAATTTAAGGTTAGTCAACATTCAGTCTTCTGAAAAATGAGCCTTCTCTTAAGGTTAGGTTTTGGTTCCCACAGAAATACTAAATTCTTTGTGGCCATTTTAGGAGTTATGTACTCATGTTGTGGTTATGGGCTTGGTTTTGTTTTTTAAATGAATACAACTTGATTGCTAGCTCATGTATTCATTTTCAAAAAGGTTTGAGATTAGATAGCACTAGATAAGGGCAATTAAAAGAAGATTATAGAGTAATCCTAGGAGCCCTAGTGGTGGTGTTGTTATTTGCCATCTAGTCCTTTGCGACTCACAGGGACCCTATGCACAACAGCCCTAAACCCTGCTCTATCCTGTGCCAATCGCATTGCCTCTTGGCAGTCCATGGAACATTCAAAACTCTTCTCCAGCACCACAGCTCAAAGGCATCAATTCTCCTTCTGTCCTCCCTAGTCATTGTCCAGCTCTCTGATGCGTAACAAGTGATTGCAAAGACCATGGCCTGTATCAGGAGCACCTTCGTCTCCAATGAGATTGGCACAGGACAGAACAGAGTTTAGGGCTGTTGTACATAGGGTTGCTATGAGTTGCAAGCGACTCAAAGGCACATAACAACAACACAACAACAAAGGAGAAAAACCAGCAGAGATGGGGAAATCTCAGTACCACCATTGGACTTAGTCCTGTGCTGGAGACCTCTCAGAACCAGGAGACGCGGAGACCTTAACCTAGACCCAGCAGACTTCTAGTGTCCTAAACGATGAGAGAATATATGTCAGTCTGTTTAAGCCATCCATCTGTAGCATCTGGGACAGCAGCACTGGATAACTAAAAGAGAGCTCTGGTAGCCTATGGTGAGCACTGCTAAGGAAGGCAGGCAAAGGTGAATGGTCCTCCTCTCATGTGGTTTACAGACTGGATAGAAGGTAAGCCGTAACAAGGTGACTAGGGCACTGTTCAGTTTTTAATTTTGCTTAAGCATTCACTTTTTGGTAGAACAGGTTCTGTTGAAAAAGGAAGGCTGAAAGGGGTAATTTCTTCATGTTTGTAAAATAATCTGTTCTGGACTGGTAGGCAGAGGTCATCAGAGATAAATTTATTTATTTTTTAATATGGCATTGTATCAAAGAGTGTCACTAGGCTGGCTTTGAAAGCCTGTGTAGGCTGTCGTAACTGTGCAGTAGAGTTGTATATAAAGTGTACATTTGACAAATGCTGTTTTCTTGGAAAAAGTTCTCTACCTTTCCACGTTTTACTGTAAACAATAGTGTATGATTGGTAGCTTGGTTTTGAGTTTGATTTTGTGTAAAAGAATTTTTTTCTTATTTTTGTGGTTGTTGATGTCATGTACTGCCAGAATAGACTCATAGCTGACCCTCCATTGGGTTTGCAGAGGCAGCATAGTTACATGAGATGTATTTGCCCATCTTTCTCCCATTTGAACTATGCTCCTTTGAATTGGTTGCAGAGCTCCTTGCCGTTAGGCCACTAGAACTCCCTAAACATAGGATTAGAAGAAGGAGCTTCTTTCCCTTTCACATTGTCTTTGTGCTAGGCATGATCAGACCTAAAACATGAATAATCTCAAGGACTGTAATGGGATTCCTCAAAGTTTTAGCATTACCAGTTTGATATAAAAATGTGAATGGAGAATCACCTACTCTTGCACTGTTGCTGGTAGGTGCTGTCGAGTCAACTACAACTCATGTGGAACCTTGTGCCATCCTTACAGTGTACCATGCTCGAGCCCTCATTGAAGTCACACTGTCAGTCATACTAGTTGCAGGTCTTCCTCGCTTCTCAGTAGCCGCTCTGGCTCTTTGCAGATTTTAGTGGATCATTTTGCTTTATGTCACAGAAGTTTTAACATTGTTAAGCCAGCTCTTATCCTCTTAGCTGTAAGCTGTATTTGTGTAAATGTGTGATCGTAGCAAATTCAAATAACCGTCACACGGGCTCTTTGGTCCTTAAAACCTCAGATGACTTATGTGCAGAGTTTCCGATAAACCACATACCACCCCCTCTGAAGCAAACATCTTTATCTTTAAAGTATAATCGTATTTTATAGATCCTGTGAGTCCTAGTCAAATCAATGGTACCTAACAACAACAACAGAGGACTTGAATGTGTGTGTGTGTGTGTGTGTGTGTGTGTGTGTGTGTGT